AGCTGCGCTCAGCCACTGCTCCACCACGCCTGACAGCTTGCTGGTGGCCATGGACAGCAGGCACGGCTCGGCCCACACACGGCTCCTGCAGTGCACAGAGGGTGAGCCGGGTCCCCAGACACCCTGGAAGGCCCCCTGCCACTCCCCTGCCTGGGCCCCACCTGCCACCTGCCCTCAGCCATGCCCCCCTCCCAGCAGGGACAGAGAGGACATGATATAGGGTCAGTGGTCTTGGCCGTGGTCTTAGCAGGGGGACGGGCCAGCGGGCAGCAAGCCGGGCGGCTGGGAGGTTGAGTGCCCGCTGTTGGTGCCTGAGGGCCGTGGGGTGAGCAGAGGGCCTGGCAGGGGTGACCCTGGCCACGGCAGTGAGGCAGGAGGTAGACTGGTCCTGCAGTGGGGTGCAGACCATGAGCACCCTAGTCTGGGTGGGGGTCCTCGGCAGGGTGGCAGTGGACGTGGGCCACAGACCCGGCCCACGGTGGAACTCTTCGAGGCTGGACCGCAGCCCCACAGGACAGCAGTGGGGCAGGAAGCAGAGCGGAGGCCCCTACCTGGGTCCGATGTCCGCGGGCTGGAGGTCTCCGGCCACAAGAGCCACAAGGTAGGCAGGCACGGGGTGCTCCATGTGGAAGCGGTACACGCCCTCCTCCTTCACATACGTGCTCCGGGTGGCGCTCATCAGCACCTGTACCCCCGAGGGAGCCTGCGGGACCCCCGGACTGAGAAGCACGCGGCCCACCTGTCAGGGCCCCCTTGTCCTTGATGGGAACTCATGTCCCTCACTGGGGAACCCCAAGCTCCCAGTCTGGAACCTCCTGCCTCCAGTCGGGGGAACAGCCAAGCACGGGTCAGGGGACCCATGGTGCCCACTAGGTGACCCACCTCCTTCATCTGAGCGCTCCTCCTTGTCAGGGACCTCTATGTCCTCATCGGGGGCCTTACCCTGGGTCCAGGGGCCCCACCCCTTGTCAGGCCTGTCTGTGGGGAGCCCCACCCCGCCCCAGCTCCTGCAGAGTGGTCCCTCCCTGCACAGTGAGGAGGTGGCGCAGGCACAGCTGTCTGCCTGGACCAGGCTGCCGAGTGGCAGGGCTGAGGCGCCTGGGGGCTCACCTTGACGACGGCCGAGTAGGTGCACTTGACGGCAGGCGTATCGAAGCAGGGGAAGAAGGAGCGGTTGCACACAGAGTGGCCCTGGGTGAAGACGAACGGCTTCGCATGGCCGTAGGTCAGCTCTGGGTCCAGCCACCAGATCTGTGGGTGGGTGGGTGTCAGCAGACAGCCACCGCTCGGCAGGGAACATCCTCTGGCCGCCACCCTGGAGGGCACAGCCTGTCCTATCTGCTCTGCCCCTGGGGGCCCTCATCTCCCACAGGCCAGGAAGAGGGGAGGGGGCACCCCAAGGCAGACAGGGAGCCGGTGGGGAGGGAGCATGTGGACGCCAGGCAGGAGGGCGGGAAAGCGGGAGGCCTGAGGAGGCTGGGGTGGGGAGCGCAGGGAGGTGGGCACTGTCTGGTGGAACTAAGGGTGCAAGGGTAAGGCCACGGCAAAGCCACCTCCCGCGGGGCCTCGAGGCCTGATCCATCACCCTGAGGGAAATCCAAACCCCAGTAGGACCTCCGACCTGAGTCTGTGCCCTCCCCTCCCCTCCAGGCGACTCTGCAGACGCCATGGCCCTGTTCCTGCCCTCCACGGACGTCCACCTGAGCACACAGGTCTGGGTGCGTGTCCCACCCGGAGGCTCCCCATGCCCCTCACCTCCACCCTTGTCCCCTCACTCCCCACTGCACTTTCCCCAGCCTGAAGTCACCATCTGTAGGCTCTGAGCGCCTGTGGTGAGGAGGAAGGAAAGCTGAGAGAGAAGCTGGGCCAGAGGCTGTGGGGAGGACGGGGCCCAGGGAGCTGGCTAGGCAGTGCAGGGCTCCAGGGAAGAGCTAAGGGGGGCGCGGCAGGCCAGGAGGCGGAGGTAGGAGGAGGGGCTGGTCGCTGGGCAGGACTTGCTGGGACTGCACAGGGTACGAGGGATGTTGGGGGCATGGGGGGACACCCGGGGTCTAGCTCAGGTGGCAGGTTTAGGGGAACTGAGGTGTGCCCACTGCAGTGGCCTGTCCCTGTACCACCCTGCCTGCCTCCAGGGCCTAAGGTCAACTCCAAGACCCTCCAGAGAAGTTGACACAGAGGGCCAGGGCTTTGCCCATCCAGGCATGGCCGGAAGACTCCCGCTGCGGGGAGGGGGGTCCCTGGGCCAGGCACCCCGACCCTGCAGGTCCTCACAACAGTGTGGCCCACACACAGCAAAGCCAAAGGGTAACAGGCTCGAGGGCACACCCCGTGGTCGCAGGTGAGACACCGTGAGGTACGACGGATCGCTTTTATATGGCCTTTCTCCCCGTGGTCTTGCAACTCCCACCAAATGACTGGGTGCGGCTATGCAGATAAGGTGCTTGTGGCCCACCAAGGAGATGGGATAGTTTGCTAATAACGTAAATAAGGTACGTGGCACCCTTGTGGGGGTGGGACCATGCAAATAAGGTGTATGGAACCCTAATGAGGGGATTGGTCAGTTTTGCCATCCCACTAGGCTTAGAATGAGCCATCCCAGAGGCGGACGGGGGGACCTCACTACCACCAAAAAAGAAGAGATGGGAGTGGAGAGAGTCCTTTGGACCCAGGATCCCTGTGCTGAGAACCTCCTAGACCCAGGAAACAGAGAGAGAGAGAGCTGTAACACTGCAGACTGTGAGAAGCAGTGGCAAGAGTGGCAGAGAAACGGCAGCAGCAGAACCAGGAGACCAGCGCGAGGCACCTACAGTGGGTGTGCTCACCCACGGATCGACAGAGCTGACTGCCTTCCGGCAGGAGGCTTCCTGGCGGAGTGGGGTGTGTCTGGGCACTTTTCGGCAGAGCTAAAGAGCTTTGTAACACTTGCCCGAGGGCAGAGGCTGGGCTGAGGGGCCGAGGGGCCGAGGGCCAGAGAGAGAGGCCTGCCTGCGGGCACGGCTGAGACGAGGCCATCTGGATGGAAGAACTGTATCCTGAGCATTGCTGAACCTGAATTGTAACCTGTTACTTCCCTAATAAAACCAATAACTGAGTATCGCCTGTGAGTTCTGTGTGGCTGCTACAACGAGTTACTGAGCCCAGCGGAGAACTAGAGAGTGCCATGAGGGGGATGGCTGCTGTCGGAATTGGTAAAAAGGTTGGAGAGAGAAGGTATGTCTGACCTCCGCCTCATAGGAATCAGCTTTGGGCTGCTGATGGTGATTCTCCTTCCCCCTTGTGAAGTCAGAGGAGGTCAGACACCCCTGCCATACCATTTTTACACACTGTGCCGCTTTCAACGATGTGGGCCTATGCCTGCAGCCTGCTGAGGGCCTGCTCCCACCCCATGCCAGCCACCTTCGTAAGTGGACTAGCTCACAGACTCCAAGTCCAGGGGTCAAGGCCAAGGTGGATCACATCCCTCCCTTCTCACCTGCCATGCTAGGGGTGCTGGGGGCGTACGTGTTGCCTGCCAGCGCCCCAAGCACCAGAGCAGCGAGGAGGCCATGCGTAGAGGATACCTATGCAGCCTGCACGCCGCCCACAGGTTGCATGCACCTGGCCTCTCACTTGGGTCCTTCGTGGACCCCAGCCCGACACCCCTATGGCCCGGTCTGTCACCCTGTCCATCAGTGCCACCAGCAGTGCCCGCTGGAACCTCCTGGGCCTCCCAGAGCTTCATGCGTGTGTGGGATGGGGGGTCACGTGTGCAGTCCGCACTGGACCCGGGGTGAACCCACGCTGCAGGACTGAACAAGGCCCTGCTCCATCCTGATCACCTGCCAGCCTCACCACGGGGGTACCCAGCAGCCACAGCACTGACCTGGCCACCTGGTCTCCAGCAGGGCCTCTGGGGAGCGGGCGCCCATGCCCACAGCCCTGCATGCCAACATGTATGTCTGTGGGGGGCCATCAACCTCAGCACCCCTAGCCCCCACCACGGGAGTCCAAACTCAAGTATCAAACCCAATCCCGACTCAGGAGAACAGACCTGGCTGCCTTCCTGCCACCGGAAGCCCAGCCACCCCCACCCCAGCTGCCCTCCGTGCCGGATGCAGGCAGCTGCAGGCTCAGCAGGTGCCGACCAGAAGCCGCTCCTGTCCCCTCAACAGGGAAGCCCCCCTGGGTGACATGCTGTCCCCTGTCCCCACTGCCCACCGACCCAGGCTCCAAAGGCTCCCCAGCCACCAGCCAGACCTCACGGAAAGCACCCGGGCAGGACTCTGGGGCAGGATGGCAGAGCCGAAGCCCAGGCCAGGTGACGGAAGGCCAGCCGGGAGGCCCGCCCCTTTCTGCAGGTGCCCGACCCCCGGAGACTGCCGGGACACAGGGTCCGCATGAACGCCCCGGGTCCCCCGCGGACTCACGGCGGGGGCGTCGGTGGATGTGTAGCGCAGGATGACCTGGAAGGGCTGGTGCGCCGGCAGCTCGGGAGGCAGCGTGACGGTGAGCGAGGAGCCGTAGTCGGTGAAGGGGTCCACTCGGAAGCCCAGCGGGCAGCAGGCGGGCTCGGCGCCGGGCGCCTCGGGG